TTCATCTATCTTAATTTGCCCTCTCTCTGATAATTAATGACAGCTAACTTCTTGTGCTCCAAGTGTTGAAGCTGTTATCTTGTATAGACAGTAGAACAGGGGAACCAAAAGGAAATCAAACATTAGGCAGAAGCAATATATGAGAAGAGTAAAATGCTTCTGCTCAATGAATAGCTTTCTTTCTATACATCTCTCCAGCGGTCTGCATGAAGTACAAATTTACATTAATAAAATTGTATTATCAGTTTTAATTTTATTATTTTTGTTATTCAACAAAATATATTTATGTAAATTTTGTAGTCACTTATGACCTGACCTGTTGCACATGGAAAATCTTTTATTTATTTATGAGTTTAGCGCGTTGTTTTATCGCATTTCAATTGTGGTAAATGCCAATTTGTCAAGCCAAACATTTTGGTTAGTTTGTGTCAAATGAAATTTAATTGCGAATTTATGCGCATTATGCGCATTTTAATTAATGCCATTTAAGCTGTTTTATTATTTCAATGGTTTTAGTTTGCTCATAAATTATTTGCGACAAGTTTTAGGCACGGAAATGTGCGTACGGCCGGATGTGTAAACAAGATACAAGGCAGCATGTGACAAATGACAGGATATTCGCATAGTAAACATTTGGCTAGAATCGAAATTAATATCTTAAAGCCCATGCTCTCCCATTGACGTCAACTGCATATGCAGTGGGCTAAAAATAGTTGGCTATTTTAAGGTCAGTTCACGCCCCACATTGCAGCATTAATGATTCACCAATGGCCAACAGCTGGACAGCAAAAAAAAAAAATGTAAAACCCTTTACAATTCATTTTGCATACGAAATGATGAATTCCCTTTAACAAGAACTGGCAAATGCACTCAAATTTCAATTCACATTTGGTTAACCCGAGTACACATGGCAATGAAGTGTCCTGCAGTGCCCTAATGCAATGTGTGGAAATACCCTGCGGACTGAAAAAATAAACTAAAATGTAAGAAAAACCTTTTTAGAAATTGAATGGATCAAAGGTTCCAGTGTATAACTATAGTAGATAATTTAAGGAGAAATGATTAATTTTCTTAAATGAATATACGCAGAGAAAAATATATTTATAAAGTACT